GCCTGCAAGCTTCAGCTCTGGTGCGCGGGATCCGTGCTCTTCCCAGCCAAGCTGAGCAAAAAATGGGTGGTTTTGATGGTGCTGGAAGCCCATGGAGCCCTATAAGCCTTAGTGTGGAGCTTCAAAACAAATGGGTAGGGTGGGCCTGAGGCACAGAGTGCTGCTCCACATGGCTGGGGTCATCGGCCCTGTCAGATGAACCAGGTGAGAGGGATGGATATCGGGGGCTTGGTGCGAAAGATCTTTGGCCCAGAATATTCCAAATGATTCGTTCTTTGAGGCGCATATTTTTTCACGTTGAAAGTCATTGTGTGGCCAAACTGGGAACATTTCCGTTGCAATGTTTGATCACCAGAGGTAAAATTCATGGAAACCTAAGGGCATCCCCGGAATGTACCCCTCTAGCAGAATGCCCCCCTGTATGGGTTGATGGTTGGTGAGAACCGCATGTATACCCTCATAATATATCATAATATCCCCCGTAATAAGATCTTATTTGTTTGGGGGTTACTTTTTGGGGCCCCTAAGCTTTCCACAAGGATGGTTGTGGCAGGCTCCACTTGGTCCGCGCTGGGCTTGCTTTGCACCTCAGATCAGAAGAGGCAATGGCTCTCCTAGAGGGGTTTGCTTTGAAAATGAAGAAATGGTGCTGCAGTAGTGGTGAAACAGTTTTCATCCTCGAACAGTTGAGTTCTAGAGTAAATATAGACTTTAGCTGGTGCCACCTTGTACCTTGGTGTTACTACCTTGCTGCCAGCTGGTCAGGCAGCCTACAAGCCTCACCGCGCATGACCGCAAGTGCTCCCAGATTTTGTTGCAAGGTCACCGCCGCTATAACAAAAATACACATATAGTTCCAATTTCAATATTTTCTTTGTTGGACCCTTCTGACACCTGGCCCATTTGTCATTTGCCCCAGGAACGGGGGGCTGTCGCGAGCACGCTGGTTGCCAACTGCCAGCAGCCCAAGCAGCCGACGCAACAGATATTGAGTGAATGACACGCTGCTCAGTTAGGCCATAGCCCCATGAAGCCGGCTCTTGGTTTCAGGTTAATATCCCTCCGCAGCTGTGGGAGTCCCAAAGTGGACACAGGCTGGGCTTAGAGTGTGGGGAAATCACCTGCGGCTACCTGCACCTTGATACCCTTAATACCAGGAAGTTCCTTGCTGGGGATGGTAATCGAATGTCAAGTGGCTTGCAGTGGGCACCCGGAAATCGCACCACAGGTGGGCAGGTCACGGGTTGCGCAGAACGCTGAAGCAGCGCAGCCGGGGTAGCGGGGGAGGTACTTGATGCCATCTGAGAAGATTTGATTCACAGAGTTCGTAGAGTTCAAAAACGGATTTTGATTTTAAAACCAATTTTTGGTCGTAGAGTACTGCATTGCAAATGGAATTGATGGGCATCATGCACCTCTCCGACCAAAGCATTATATTTCATTGCTTGGACAGGACTCAGCCAAGTTGCTGGCAGCTTGCAGTATGCTCACGAACCTTAAGACAAGCTTGAGTTGGATGTATCATAACCCAAATTTTCCTCCTTACCCAAATGCACATCCAATCAACCAAAATCGTGCTATGAGGAGGCAGCATCTACAGTTATATGATATGCAGCAAAAGGCTTAGCCACTTTGCGGGTTATGCAGAGAGACTTATCTATCGACATTTTTTTGACGCGGGAACTCTTCAAAACCAGAAGGGCTATCCACTTTTCACAAAAAGATGCTGACAGTTCGCAGTGTCCTTTGGTTCTTCTCCATGGTGCTTGATGAATTCATGGCGCATTTCGACCCCCTGCCACTTGAACTACTGAAACTGGAGATGATGGCGACCGAACCATCCCATGCGATCTTTTGGGCTTTGCTGGCAGGGGATCTAAAGATGATGAACGATGCGCATTAGTAGCAGTACCTGCGCTGTTCCAGTGGTTGTCTCATGAGAAAGGATCTTAAGCTTCTTTTGAAGGGATCTCATGACTACTATTGCCTGCCAAGGTAGATTTGTCATTAAAAGCCTGGTGAACACCCAGAAAAGCTGGTAAATGGGTGCTCATCCCCCGATTCAGATGGTGCTTTGGGTATTGACTCATTGACCCATCCCCAAATGATTCAACATCTATCAATACCAATTTTGCAGACAAATTCCCACACTTTTTGGTCCATGGTTCAACTACCAATCCTCTTGGCTGAGACAGCCCTGGTGAACCGCAAATCCTTGGCGCGGCTCAGCGACATAAACCTTCGAGCGCTTCGAAAATGTTTTTGGCCAAGCCGCAGGGGGATGGGATTACGGACCTGGCGTGACCTGGCGGTGCACGAATGGGATGGTGCATTGCCTTGTTGATGTCTTCTTTCCATATGGCTGCAGAGGGTTGACATGGGTTGACGGCATCACTTACGCACCTCAATGACCGGAATGATTTGAGTGATCTCATCAATTCTACGATGGCGGGGAATATATTATGCTCTGGATTTTTTAGGCACGTGCAACATGAGGCAGACATTCCAAGCATAATCTCCAGCATGCCAAAACCCATACTCTGAAGCTGGGGGGGCATCATGCACAAAACGTTGGGGCTATGCCAAGCCGCCCGGAGCTTAGCAGGGTCAACCGAACCAGCATAAGTGTAGTTACAGGATTCTTGGAGGAAGCGATTTGCCTAACGGCCTTGTTCTGTTCAATATGGAGGGTTTGCAAAAGATTACAGATGTGCATCCTCCACAAAAGAAGGCCATAAGTCCATGATCCTGCCTCGAATCAGCCGCGCATCTCAGGGCCACGACATCGCGAGAGCGGCCTGAGGACCGAGGGAAGGTCAAAACCATGGCCTTGGGCCTTGGCTGGACATTGGGGTCCGTACCTACAATCAGCAAGTTGAAGGTGATTATGCGATCAGGTGGAGTTTTCCGACCTCTTTGGAACATTTGGAACCGTCAGACAGTCGACGTCTCGAATGGCCAGGACTCAACAGTCGACACCGCCCACGCCTCCCGTGCTGGCAGATGGCAGCCGAGGACTTGGAGCGGATTGACATGTGCTGCGGCTAATAGTCTCCGAATGCGCTACCACTGAAAACAGGAGTCGCTGGATTGCTCTTGCATGCCATGGTTATGGTCATAACAACGAATCCGTCTGAAAACTGAAAATCCTTCTGGTTTAGAATTGCCATTTCTGACTTACTGGCCCCTTTTGTGGTGTTGAACGGCCAAGAGCACACATGATCTGACATCCTAAAGTTTTTCCCCCAAACAGCGTGTCCACGCTGAGGGGTTCTTACAGTAGGAGCTAAAGGGCTAGGGTTAGATCAGGGTGCTCCATCTGATCTCCGGCCTTTTTGCTGTAAATTCTCGCACACAAGTTCCCTTGTGAGATGTCCACGTACATTTCGACTGCGCAGGCTCGCACGATGTGGTTGTCGCGTTTTGCTTGTTTCCAAGGGTGTAGTTCTACTAGATTCTACTAGGGTGCCGTGCTCGTTTTCTGGCCTACGTCCATTTCATGTGGCACGTGTGGGACATCTGAGGCATTTTGAGGTCTGGAACGTCGTTTTGCGTGACAGGTGCAGGGCATCGAACACTTTTTCATGTGTGGCAGGCGTGGTACTTTCGGCACATTGCTAAAACGTTGGCAGGCGTGGGTCAAAAATGGGAGCTGCTTTTGGATGTCATTTTGCGTGGCAGGCGCAGTGTTTGGTGATGTTTTTGGAAGGGTCGAAAGTCTAGTTTTGTGAAGCTGTCGTCATTTTTGATTTTGGGCATGATGATGATCCCGCGCGTTAGGTGAAGCAGTTCGGATGCCTCCGGCACATTTTTCGTGGCAGGCGCAGTACTTTGCAGACATCGACAAAAAAGTGGCTGAGACCTAGGTAAAACTTAAACTTTTTCGTGGTGCGCACAATGTTTGGTGAACATCAAACATGTGCTCGCGTAACCCCCTCGTGACTTTGTGCGCTTTTGATCGCTCTTCTTGTGGTGCGGTGCGACATTTTGATATCGCTCGCGCAGCCCTCTCGGAACTTTGAGCGTGTCAGATCGCTCTCGTTGTGGCGCGGTGCGAATTTTGATATCGCTCACGCAACTTCTCGGCCCTTTCTGCATGTCAGATCGCTCTCGTTGTGGCGCGGTGCGAATTTTGATATCGCCCGCGCAACTTCTGATCCTGGTAATGAGATCTTATATGAGTTTTGTGGAAGATCTTCTATGACGATCTCGCAAGAATTTCATGGTGCAGCCTTAAAGGTCCGTAATGTATGAAGCTCTTGACCAAGGTCTTGCAGAGGTCCTTGTGAGAAGATGTTGTGAAGATCTTGATGAAATCCTGTCAGGAGTCCTGGCATGAACTTGAACAAGTCGTTATGAGAAGCTCTTGTGAAGGTCTAGCTCACATCCTTGAAGAGTCCTTGCATGATCTTGTACAGGTCCTTGTGAGAAGATCTTGTGGAGACCTTGGTGAAGTCCTCCCTAAGAAGTCCTAGCATGTCCTAGCATGATCTTGTACAGGTCCTTGCAAGAAGATCTTCTGGAGATCCCAGGGGTCCTTGCATGAAGATCTATCTTGCCTCTAAGAGGTCCTTGCAGTGCAGGCTCTTGTACGAGTCCTTATGAGAAGATCTTGTGGAAAATCCTAGCGCAATGCCGGCAGAGGCCTTAGCATGATCTTGTACAGGTCCTTGAGAAGATCTTGTGGAGATCCTGTTGAAATCCTCCTCAAGAGGTCCTTGCGTTAAGATCTTGCAGATGCTCTGCATTGGTGCTTGTGTGGGAGTCCTTCTGGGATCCTCATACGAAATTCTTGTATGAAGATCTTCTAAGATCCTCTATGTAAAAGGTCCTTCTTTGACGTTCCTTTGAAATTTTCTTAGGTGTCCTGGTATGAAGTTTTGGTAGAAGGTCCTGCTGAGTAGACACAGCGTTGCTTCTTGTGCCAAAGCATGTTCCTGCTGCTGCAGTTGCGAGAATGTCGAACCTGACCTGTTACTGTTCCATAGCTACTGTTGCTCGTATTTGGTACATTGGCTTCCTACCCCCCGCACTCTTTGGGCCCTCTTGCCGGTGTAATTTAAATTAAACCATCTCTGCAAGTTTTTTCACCCTTTGGCTTTGTGGACCTTGGCAAGGTCATCAATGGATCGGGGTTCCGAGCTGAGACATCTGTCATGTTGAAATCGTCCTGAGAGGCGCCAGCGCCCAGCCCTCCTGAGGCAAGTTTCTACCTGCAGATCGAGCGCTGCGCTGGCGTTGCCAAGCAGTCATGCTCAGTGCGCCTAGAGGAGGACATCAAATGGAGCTGTTGGAGGGAGCCTTTCGATCATTTTTTTTTAATGTCTCAAGCTTGGGAGGTTTCGCGCGAACCATTTTTCTTAGACCTCGTAAAATTTACGTCGATTCCTAGGTTCTGTTCTTCTGATGCCCATGGAGTGCTTCAAGGCTTCATTTTGCATTTGATGTCGGTCCGATGGCATCGAAACCAACTGTTGTCAGGAGCTTTACCTGCAAAAAGCGGAAGCGCTCAAGGCAACTTGACAAATCTTGGGAAAAAACCGAAACTGGTGAACAAACAAACTACCAGCTAAGCGAGTGCAACCCGATGGTGGTGGATGACACATAATACACATGGATTCTTGCAAGATTGGCGCTTGATATGCTTGAACGCTGGTTGGGTGATCTTGAACCCAGCACTGGAAGCAACCCTAAACCCAATATCAATCAATGATCACAGGAGAACATCGACAAGTTCTTCGAGGGTGCTATCGAGGCCAGCAATTAGGGGCTCCCAGAGCTCTTGGAGCAATGTGGTGGCCTGGCCAGAGACAAATCTTGGTTGAGGGTGCCCAGCTGTTGGATGGGTTTCTTCAAACGTGGGGTACATGGGGTACATTTCCACATCAGATGGTTAAACTTGGTTAAACCCAAGTGTTGCGAGGAAAATTGCAAATTCAACTATCCTCAGCGCCCTTGGAGGTCTGGGTCGTAGACGTCCCAACGCTCTACGCCTTGGAGGTGCGTGTGATGCGCTGGGAGTGCGGCTCACCCAGAGGTGATGGGCAGGTCGCCGGTGTGGTGGAGGATCTAGTAGAAGTTGGTTGATTGAGAGGGTTTAGCATGGTTTAACCCTGCTTCATGCCCAATAGGTAACAGAGCGACCATGAGCGACCCTTCAATTTTTCGCAGGACATTGTGATAGGACAACTTCCTGACTTTGTTTTTTCTCTCACACTTTTGAACTCTGATGGAGCTGTACGCTGCAGCTGTTTGGCTGGGTCCGGGGGAGTGGGCAGCAGCACCGGTGACACGGAGCCATGCAGGGGGTGCGAGATGCATTTGAACAAACTGTGGGTGAGAGCATCAGATGCCGCTTGGAGAGGATCCACGTGCAGATTCGGTTTGAGCTTGACTCGACCATGTTCTAAGCTATTCTACTGCGATCAGTTCCGTTTAGACATGTCACCCATGAGTCATTTAGCAACCTATGGAGCCTGTTATTTCTGAATGCTTTCATGGACCATCGGAGGCCGGTCCCTGGACCAACCCTTCATTATGAGGCGACGAATTGGAACTGGTACTCAAAAACTGCGGCGTGGACGATACATCGGCACAGTTTTTGTTGCGACAAGCTCAGAGCTATGCCAATGGAGAGGCTGGAACTGTGAAGCCAAGGGATGGTCCCCTGATGTCCTGAGGGTCGGCACCTCGCTCCCGACGCCGAGTTTTGACTCGCTCGCAACGCCGGAAACGGTTTCGCTCCCGACTCCCGCGTGCCACTGCATCATCATCATCATCACCATCATCATCATCATCATCATCATCATCATCATCCTCGTCACAATCATCATCAGCATCATCACCACCATCATCATCGTCATCGTCATCGTCATCGTCGTCATCATGATCATCATCATCATCATCATCATCATCATCATCATCATCATCATCATCATCAGCATCAGCATCACCATCATCATCGTCATCGTCATCGTCGTCATCATGATGATCATCATCATCATCAGCATCAGCATCACCACCATCATCGTCATCGTCATCGTCGTCATCATGATGATCATCATCATCATCATGAATCATCATCACCACCATCATCGTCATCATCATCAGCGTCGCATCATCATCCTCCTCCTCATCATCATCATCATCATCATCAGTCTCATCATTATCATCATTATTACCATTATTCCTTTAATTATTATTATCACCACCATCATCATCATCTTCTTCTTTTTCAACTTCGTCGCCATTTTATTCATCATCTTCTTCATTGTATTCTTCATCTGCTTCTTTTTCTTCTTATTCATCTTCATTATCGTCATCATCTTCTTCATTATCTTCATCTCTTCATCCCTTAAATCTCTTCATCGCTTCATCTCTTCATCTCTTCATTCCATCCTCATTAACATAGACCCGGGCAAGCCGGCGGCGGAAGTTTCCCAAACATAAATGACCTATAGTTCGACGCCAGCCTGTCCCGACCGCGTCCTTCCCTCGACAAGCGGCTTTTTTTTTCAGCGAGAGACGAAGCAAAGTCTTCACACTCCACACTTCGCACTCCACACTTCACACTGCACTCTTCGCACTCGAAACTTCACACTTCACACTCCACACTTCGCACTCCACACTTCACACTTCTCACTTCTCGCTGCTGCCTTCACACTCCAAACCTCACACTTCACACTTCACACTGCGCTCTTCGCACTCCAAACTTAAACTTCACACTCCACACTTCGCACTCCACACTTCACACTGCACTCTTCGCACTCGAAACTTCACACTTCACACTCCACACTTCGCACTCCACACTTCACACTTCTCACTTCTCGCTGCTGCCTTCACACTCCAAACCTCACACTTCACACTTCACACTGCGCTCTTCGCACTCCAAACTTAAACTTCACACTCCACACTTCACAGTTCACACTTCTCACTTCCCACTGCTTCCTTCTCACTTCGCACTTCACACTCCACACTTCGCAGTCCACACTTCAGAGTCCACACTTCACACTCCACACTTCTCACTTCTCACTGCTTCCTTCACACTCCAAACTTCACACTTCACACTTCTCACTTTGCACTTCACACTTCACAGTCCACACTTCACACTTCTCACTGCTTCCTTCACACTCCAAACTTCACACTTCTCACTTCGCACTTCACGCTTCACAGTCCACACTTCACACTTCTCACTGCTTCCTTCACACTCCAAACTTCACACTTCTCACTTCGCACTTCACACTCCACACTTCACAGTCCACACTTCACACTTCTCACTTCTCACTGCTGCCTTCACACTCCAAACCTCACACTTCACACTTCACACTCACACTTCGCACTCCAAACTTAAACTTCACACTCCACACTTCACACTTCTCACTTCCCACTGCTTCCTTCACACTGTACACTTCACACTGCACTCTTCACACTCCACACTGCACACTGCACTCTTTGCACTCCAAACTTCACACTCCACACTTCACAGTCCACACTTCACACGTCTCACTTCTCACTGCTTCCTTCACACTCCAAACTTCACACTTCACACTTCACGCCCCACACTTCACACTGCACTCTTCACACTGCACTCTTCACACTCCACAGTTCATCTCATCTGAGCTCTTTTCACCTTATCCCAGCTCATCTCTTCTCATCTCGTCCCTTCTCATATGTCATCTATTAAGCTTTCATTAATCAATTCCCAGCACTACTACTAATCACTGTCGCAGCCTTCATGCAGCCACTCCAATACGATTTACGAAGTCCAGCTGCAAAAGACAATAGTATTGCGCATGCAGCCGCGGCACCAAGCAACCTTGACGCAGCCATCACAATGCGATCTGCAGAGACTGAGTTGCGAAACACAATAGAACTACGCGCAACTGGGTCGGAAATTGCAGCTACAAAACCGGATCTCGACGCCAAAGCGAAAAAAAAGACGATTTTGAAGCACTTTTTAAAAGGATTTTTAAAAAGAAAATCACTGGCGCCAAAATGGAGAAAATCTGCTGACAAATCACTGTCGCAGCTTCATGCAGCCACTCCAATACGATTTACGAAGTCCAGCTGCAAAAGACAATAGTATTACGCATGCAGCCGTGGCAAGAAGCACCTTGACGCAGCCATTACAATGCGATCTGCAGAGACTGAGTTGCAAACACAATAGAACTACGCGCAACTGGGTCGGAAATTGCAGCTCCAAAACCGGATCTCGACGCCAGAGCGAAAAAAAGACGATTTAGAAGCACTTTTTAAAAGGATTTTTAGAAGGAAAATCACTAGCCCCAAAATGGAGAAAATCTGCTGACAAATCACTGTGGCAGCCTTCATGCAGCCACTCCAATACGATTTACGAAGTCCAGCTGCAAAAGACAATAGTATTACCAATGCAGCCACGGCACGAAGCAACCTTGACGCAACCATTTACACTGCGGGAACGATCCTACAGTTGCAAAGCACAATGGAATTCCATCGGCAACTCATCCACCAGCACCACTTGCAATCCCATTTACATTGCGGGAACGATCCTACAATTGCAAATCACAATGGAATTCTGTCGACCACAAATGCACGAAACACAGGTGGCACCCCATTTACAATGCGGAACCGATCCGATCATGATCCGAGAATATCCGACCATGATCCGACCACACACGAGACCGTCTCGCAACCGTCGCACCGCAGAGGTAGATCATCGAGGTTCGGGGACGGACTTTGTATGGAAAAACAAATTCCAGGCTTTCGTGTCATCTGTCTAGTCGTCCTCTCCGAAAAACGCATTTTCGTGCGAGACTTCCTTCAAAACTCCATCGGCAACTCCTCCACCAGCATCACGTGTGAATCCCATTTACAGTGAGGGAACGATCCTAGAGTTACAAATCACAATGGAATTCCATCGGCAACTCATCCACCAACACCACTTACAATCCCATTTACATGCGGGAACGATCCTACAATTGCAAATCACAATGGAATTCTGTCGACCGCACATGCACGAAAA